CTGGGCTTGGGCCTTGCCTCAAGGAGCTCAGCTTTGACAGAAGAGAGGGATGCTAAATGACTAAGGAAAAGCTGATCATTCACGCACATGTCACAGGCTACATCTCACATTTTGAAAAGTTGACAAAAACAATTAATAATTAGTAATTTAACAATTAGGAAAAAAGATAAATTCAGGCATTTCCATAGTCTTTTTTGCATTTCAAGATTTTTCTTTAGAATAATCTGTTTTTGAATGTGTCACTCATATGTGGCTGTCACAACTATACAAAGATGCACTGAGGAAACTTTTATTCAAGGAAGGGAAAGAAGGATAGGAAGCAGCTTGAAATTTTTCTTAAAAGTCATAAAAACAACAAAAATAAAACCAAACTTAGAACCAAAATAAAACTCATTCAAATCTTAATCATCCATGGTATATTCAGCATGTACTTACTGAGGTTAGCACACTAACTCATGGGATTTCAGAGGACACTAAGCCAAGAGGGTGTCTGGAGTGTGGATTCAGGAGGCAAAAGACAATAAGTTGGGACCAGAGGGTGTTGTGGTGGTTAAGGGCATTGGACTCACACATGGTTTGGGTCCCGGACCTGGCACTTTGCTTTCTCACTTTCTCTCTCTCTCTCTGTCCCTCTCTGGTCAAATTAAAATAGATATAGATATAGATAGATAGATAGATAGATAGATAGATAGATAGATAGATAGATAAAGTTAAATAATTCTTTAAAAAGATAGTAAGCGAGTATACAAGAAAACAAGATAAATTCAGAATGTGAAATGATGAAACTCATTCTTTTCCTATGAAGTGTGAGCATGAAGGTGCATGCCCCCCATTTCTTCACTGAAGTCTGAGGCAATTCCTGGTAATTTGGGGCTTTGATACACTTCTTTCCGGGTTTATCTTCCATGGGGCAGCAGAGATATGGCATGAGCAGGATAAATACCATCTTCCTTTAGAATCTGTAAATTCTCCTCCAGTACCTATGGTCTAAATAAAATGGATTACTTGCTTTGCAAACAAATTTGGAATAAGTTTCTGTCTACCCCCCAAAATTTAGATCCTTCTGTGTAATATGCAGTGATCATCCCACAGATAAACATAAATGCACAGATAGGGCTCTGGAATAAAAATGCCTTTTCGTTTTGGAAATAAGAATCAGGCATCAACCTACGTACTCATCTAACTTTCCTTTCTCTACTAATAGCCATAACGGTATCCCGTGTACATTTCCAGATCAGCCCGTGTCAGTGTGTACTGAACACATCTGTGGACGTACTACACAGCTTTACCCTTCGCTGTGCAGTGTTCTCAACCTTCTGTCATCCAGCAGTGCTGCGACAACTTTTTTATTTTAAGTTTATTTTTTCCATGAGCAAGAGAGAAGATGACATAAACACACACGCGTGTACACACGCACACACAGACACACATACACAGCACCCCAGTCTTGGCCAGCCCTGGATCACAGGCACACGTACACCCAGCGTACTCAGGGACCTCTGCCACGAACCCAGAGCCTGTCCATGTGGATAAACCTCACATAACATTGCATTTGGCTGCTGTGCCACTGTCTGGTCCTGCAACTGATATTCTTAAACGTTATGAAAGTGTGTGTGTGTGTGTGATTTAAATTTTTTTGTGCCGAAATAAACTTGTACTTTAACTTCATTTTACTCTCTTAATTAAAACAAACAAATGCCAGAAGGCACATGTGCACACCAGAGAGACAGAAAGAGAAAGAGGGAAAGTGGTAAAGCATCTTTTCCCTCTCACCCCAACCCCTGGGGCATGGTCATGCCGCAATCCCTTCTCCTCTCTCTCTCCCTCCTTTTGGGATTTTGGGCACATGTGCACAAACACCTGGCATGTTTTTCAAACTGCTGGGTCTAGGACTCGAATCTGGCAGTTGGCCATGTGAGGTTCGGCCACCTTAACCACTACACCACTAGTTGGCCTTAATTTCATTTTCCTGTAAACTTTTTGAAGCCTGCTTGTGCATTTACATATGTATGTGTGTTTGTGTGTATATATTCTTATATTCATGGTACAAAATATTGTTGGGTCATGGGATATAAAAATTGAAAATGTCGATAGTCATGGCCAAATTACACTACAGAAAGACTGTAATAAATTCATACTGATAGTATTTGGGGGTGTTTGCCTTCAATACCTTCAGCTGTTTGGGAATGGATTAAATGACTCGTGTCATCTCTTACCAGAAGTGTCTGGAACTTGATGAAGCTTATCTTGAATAAGCTTTAATAAAGTTTATATTTTTAAAATTTTATATGTTTTAATTTTTATCTTTCAATCCAATTTTCCAGGAACTATTTGACATCCCTTCACATATCTTATGTGAACATACTGATACAATATTAATATCATTCCAGATATATAAATGGATACAGATATGTACAAAATAGGAGATAGACTGACAAAATATTTCCCTTAAAATGGGGTGAATTCTATATATTTTACATCAAATGTTATTTTACTTGAATGTATGGGAAGGAAAGAATAGCTCCGTCTAGTCCAGTATTTTCCAATTTCTATGCTAATACAGGTTTTTCATTGCCAGAGGGTATGTGTACTTCCCAGAGAGGGAGAGTTTGGCATCCATACCTTCTCCTATGGGAAGACACACCAACAGGGCGCCATCGTTAAAGCAGATTGAGCTCTTACAACACTGAGAACGCTGGCGCCTTGATCTTGGACTTTCTAGCCCTCGGAACTATGAGAGATAAATTTCTAATACTTATAAACTACCCTGTCTAATGTATTTTGTTATACCAGCGGGAATAGACGAAAACTGACACTAAACCCACTTATGAGGGTGGAGCCCTCATGATCTACTCAACTCCCAAGGGCTCTACATTTTTATACTATTGTATGCGGATCAGGTTTCAATGTATGAATTCGGAGGGACAAACAAATTCAAACCATAGAAATGCCCTTTATGAGGCCCCACAGAGCTAGCTTGCCCCTTTTTCCATGTGAAGACACTGTGAGCAGGACTACCTATGAATCAGAAAGTGACCCCCACCAGATCAGATCAACCAGTGCTTTGATTGTGGACTTTCCAACCTCCAGAACTGGGAGAAATAAAAGTCTGTTATTCATAAGCCACCCAATTAATGATATTTTGTTATAGCAGCCCTCATGTTCTGATACACTACTCTTCTTTTTCAAGGCTTTCTTGCTAACTCACAACTACGTGATGTTGTACATGAAAGTTATAATTAATTAGTTATTTTATTTTTTTTTGAGAGATTTTCACTGTAGGGCGCGTGCGCTTGCCAGACAGACAGAGAGAGACATAGAGACAGAAAGCGAGAAATCACCCCCCAGGGGGGATGGTCACGCCACAATCCCTTCTCCTCCATTCTCCTCTCGGGATCTTGGGCACGCATGCACACGTGCCCGGCGTGAGTTTTAAGCCACCGGGTCCGGACACGAACCGCGGTCGACTATGTGGGAGTCCAGCGACATAGCCATTACGCTAACTGCTGGTTCCCAGTTCTTTTATTTTTTAAGAGATATTTTTGCTATAGGGCGTGAGTGTTCGCTGGTCAGAGAGAGACAGAGAAACAGGTGAGAAATCACACCCCAGGAAGCATGGGCACGCCACAATCCCTTCTCCTTCATTCTCCTCTCAGGATTTTTGAGCATGCACACACATGAGCCTGGTGTGAGTTTTAAGCCTCAAGGTCTGGGACTTGAACAATCTTCCACTACGTGGGAATCCAGCGATGTGCCCATTACACCATCTGCTGGTCCCATATAGTCAATTAGGTCTAACATGTACATCTCCAAGATAATTTAGAACTTTCAAGGGAATTGCACTATTTTTGTAACTTGACTTGGGAGACTTGGGATGTAATAGACACTGACTAGTCATTTAAGAATACAACATGTGTTTTTGTTTATCCACTCTTATCTTGTCTCTGCCTTTCAGCAAGGGTTTATCCTTAGCATTTTGTAACTTGCGAAAGTTCATTCCTAAATATTGCATGGTTTTCACTGCCATTGTGGGGAAAAATGTTAATTTTAAGCAGGTTATTACTTGTTGGAGCTGAATTTCTAATTTCCGAGAGATTTTTTTAAAAGCATTATTTTTATTTAACTTTATTTATTATTATTATCATTATTATTTTCCAGTTTGATCCAAGAGAGACAGAGAGGGAGGAAGGGAGCAAACAAGCCACCAGGTCCGAGACTTGAACCATGGTCAGCCATGTGGGAGTCTAGCGCCTTTAATCACCATGCCTCTTGCTGGCCCCTCTGAGAGATTTTAATACACCTAATCTCGCTGGTCTCTGGATTCCTATCTCTAAAATAGGGTAATAGTAACACTTAAACTGAGGCTTACTGTAAAAATGATGACTATTTAATAAAGGAAGTAGAATGTGCCTTACGCCCTATTATAAGCATTAGCTTACATTTAGCCAAACCAGCTTAATACTTTCCTCCTGTGAGCCTGGCAATCACTTCAGAGGGTGGTTATCTCCCCTCTGCATCCGAAGAAGCCTCGCTCCAGAAGCAAAGATCTGCCCAATGTCACTGGGGTACAGCTTAGGGTACATAACAAAACGAGCTCCTAGAACATGATGTAGTCAACCAACTCCTGCCGAGACGTGATGTACATCGCATTATATCGTGATTCATTCATTCTCTACGGTGTTGATATTCTACCAGAACACAAAAGTGCGCTAACGCAAAGGCTCGAAACTCCCCGGACATTGCGGCTCGGGTTTCCGGCAGGACTGGCGGCGAGAGC